GAACATCAATTAAGAAAAACATTGAATAACAACACAAATATTTGTGTTATTATTATATTATCCGAGATAAATACGCGGATAAATCGTACGGTATCGAATGAAATAATGATATTTCAGTACTTCATACATTCGAATGATACACAGGTGGATATTTTATGGGAAATCCGCGTTCACGCCGATTGTTTTCCGAACGATTTATATTTGCATATTTATCTCGAATGGCAATAAAAGAAGTGTTTCAGTACTTTATATTATTAAACGGTGCGCACGATGAATATTCATGGAAAGTCCTCGTTTACACCGATTATTTGCCATACGTTTCTCGTTCGCATTATTTATTTCGAGCGCTAATAAAAGAAGTATTTTGTTACTTTGCATTTCGAACGGATATATTTGCGAGAGTAAATCGTTTTCGTGGGGAAAATTCAAGAACGAAATTCGATGACTGTGGGGAAATTCTATTGATGCGCGAACACGAAACAGCAACGCCTTTTGATTTTTTGTTGTTGATATATATGCACACACACTGTATTTGCGTTAATACGCAGACTATACTCGCGTTAATACGCGGACTGTACTCGTTTTAATACGCGGACTGTATTCGTGTTAATGCCGAGACTGCATTTACGTTAATAAGCGGACTGTGGATTTCACGGGTTCGCGATAAAATCGAACAGTTTGAAACGGCAGAAATAAAATTCAGAAAATTCGAATAAACGTGGTAAAATTATTATTTTTAATTTGTTAAAACGATTCGCTAAAGAACGAGCTGTGTAACTGTTTTACTATCAATTCCTCGCGTTTCTATACGGACCACTTTTTATTTCGGGGACAAAATCCGCAGTCTAATTAACAGAAAGAAATGCTTTCCGAGGGAAGGAAAAAAAACAGATTACACTTACCACGTTACTGGAGTTCAGGATTATCCGGGGCTCTTTCGACGTGACATTGTAGATCACGAGATTTCCGGCCTCATCGCGGTACAGTATCTCGTTTCCTGCAACAGAGAGATAACGTATTTTTCCACAAGGTCGGAATGGAACCGGCACCGTAATAAAATTGTTACGCGGTAACAAATGTTTCGGGGCAAGTACGGGAGAGATCCAGTTCACTGCTTACACCGGGAACAGATAGATACCATCTATGTTGATGATGCAGTAATAAGAGTAATTAATTGGATTAAGCCTGCTAGAAACTGCTCAGGCCGCTTCGCGCTCGGTCCTGAGATACGATTTAAGTTTTCAGCAATTTATGCCCGCATCCGGCTAATTCCGGAGTTGGCCAAATTTTGTTCGGACCACTGATAAGAATACGGATCGACGAATATAATTTCACTCGAGTTTCTCGAGTTCGTGTCCAAGCGAATTACTCAGCCGGATAATAATTTGTAGGAAGCAGATTTTGTTCGAATGAGAATTCACTCGAATAAAGAATAATTCGAATGAGATATAAGTCGAATAAGAATTCACTCGAATATAGGATAATTTGAATAGTAATTCAATCGAATAAAATATAAATCGAATAACAATTCACTCGAATAAAATATGAATCGAATAAGAATTCACTCGAATACAGGATAATTCGAATAGCAATTCACTCGAATAAAGAATAATTCGAATCAGTATTTACTCGAACAAAGAATAATTCGAATAAGAATTCACTCGAATAAAGAATGATTCGAATAAAGAATAATTCGAACAAAGAATAATTCGAATAAGAATCCACTTGAATAAAGAATAATTCGAATAAGAATCCACTTGAATAAAGAATAATTCGAATAAAAATTCACTCCAATAAAGAATGATTCGAATAAAGAATAATTCGAATAAGAATCCACTGGAATAAAGAATAATTCGAACAAGAATTCACTCGAATTCTAATTCTAGATTTCATCTGAAGAAGATCTTGCAGAACTTAAAGTATCGACAACGATCTACTACAGTTCGTAAAGCCTAAGACTAATTACATGAAATAGCAGCCGGTTTCGAATCGCGACGATGTTTCCTTTTACAATGAAGAACGAATCGGAGACTTCGGTCTCTCGCTACATCTAGATCACGTCGTGGCAGGATCTTTTATTGGATCAGGACCGAAATGGGTCACGTTAGAGTCAGAAATGCGACTGAATCAAGCACGCTTGGATCGGTTTTACGACACGGTTTTATGAATACAGCGTTCTTAAGCTTTGCAGTGGATCCAGCATAAAGTTTGATCCCGATTCGAGCACGCCGGCCCGCGGAATGGAGCCAGCCTTTTGACTAGAAACAGTGTGCAATCTCGCCCGATTGTTTCATAACCCGCGTTACCATGGACCGGCGAATTACAATGTACACATTTGTCCTCTGTGACAGCGGAATATAAATTCGAATAGTCTCACGTATTCCGCAGAGTCACTGGATAAATGGCAATCGCGGGGGGCTTGAGCTTGTTAAATCTCAGTTAAATCCAGATGTAATGCGCGCCGGGCTACGGTCACGGCGAACTAATACGGCCGTATCATTGCACAATAATCTCAGGAGGACCGAATTTATCGGCGACATTGTCGTTCTGGACGACGTAACAAGCCGGGATGCTGTCTCGTCGCAAAAACCTGCCACCGTCACTAAAACGGTAAACGAAATCATCGAATTTGCAGCAAAAATCGTTCGTTCGAAATTTTCTTTTAATGGTACAATTTTCTCGCGACAATTCCGCTGACAAAAGTGAATCCAAATTTTTACCGGCACCAGGGAACAAGAAATGTTTTACCATAATTTTAAATTGAATTAGTGTAAGATAGTAAGTTATTGAATAATTGTACAAGTATGAATAATTGTAAATTCAGAGTTATTTTTACTTTTTTGGACGCATTTCAAGAGAAAGTTAATAAACTGTTTGTGTATTTATATTTTTGATTATTTCTGATGTATTTTCTGTTACCTTTAATTATTTTATGTTTCGCCTCTTGTTGTTTCCACTTTTCCCATAATTAAAACCAAAGTTTGGAAAAAGTTCTACCTTTACAAAAGATTCCATTGAATTTCTCAGTTCCCCTTTTGTTGTATCTGGCTTAAAGCCGTCATTTCAACAAATAAACAAGTTCGAATAAGAATTCACTGGAATACAGGATAATTCGAATAGCAATTCACTCGAATAAAGAATAATTCGAATAAGAATTCTCTCGCTCGAATAAAATATAAATCGAATAAGAATTCACTTGAATACAGGATAATTCGAATAAGAATTCACTCCAATAAAGAATAATTCGAATTGGTATTTACTCGAATAAAGAATAATTCGAATAAAAATTCACTCGAATAAAGAATAATTCAAATGAGAATTCACTCGTATAAAAAAATCGGAAAAATCGCGTCGCGAAGCTTTAATAGCAAAATTCCAGTGAACGAAGCATCAACAAACACCGCGTTCCAGCGTGAAAAAAATTGCTGGCGCCGCGTCAGAGATTCTGGCATCCGCCGAGACTCGACTGGCAACAGAATTTCGAAGTTCGACAGCGATCGGAAGCAATCCTGAAATACCTGCGGCCATCAAGCTGCGTTCCACGGCCTGATCCGGCCCGCTTCGGCTCCATTAATCCGCTTAATCCGAACTTCTGCTCTTAATTAACCAACACCGGCGAAGTGTACCAGCTTCGATCGAGCCGCAATAATCCGTCTTTAATCATTAACCGTCCGCGACCGATCCGCTCGAATTAAGACGATGCACCGATGGCGGAGGGGGAGAGGGGGGGAGAGGGGCACGCGTTGCAGCTCCGCGGAGCTGCACGCTGCACCTGCACTCGATATCCGGCAGGCGGGGCCTGCCAGCGGACGCGGCTCGAATAAACGTCGATCGTCGATGGACCGCCCGCGGTTATTTTTCCAAGTGCTTCCCTGTCGGGTTATTGCGTCACGGGACGTGACATAAACTATGACGCTACGCCGGATCAGAGGAGCTTTTAATATCCGGTCAGACACGACGCGAGGAATAGGCGGAATCGACGATCACGTGGAACGGCGAACGGGGCTTCGAAACCCTTCGGACGGCTCGATTCTACTGCCGCGACTACGTGCTTCGATCGTTGACGGCACGGAACGAGCTTGAAAAGATTGCTGGATCAAAGACTCGGCGGCGCTGCGAGGCCGGTCTTGAAATTATGGAACATTAATCAAAGGCGGAAATGTAAATACACCGATCAAGAAAGTTGCAGCATAGAAGACTGCTTGGATGAGAATTGGTCAAATTTGACCGACGATAACTTTGCGAAAAGTAATCGTACGATGATGAATACTTTTTCAAATTAAAGCTTGAGATCTCTACTTTAAGATAGTATTAATGGATTTTAAGTTCGATGCAACCTTGCTACTGGAACCCTTTCAATACGAGGTCATGTTTGTCGTATTGAACGTTGCAAAGGGTTGTTTCAAAATGCTATAACTTCGTGAAAAAAAATCGCAGCCACGTTTCTTTTCCCGCAAATTAAAGAGGAAGGAATGCGCCTTATTATGCTGTAAACGGCATCGCAGAAAACAATTTTGCAAAGTTTGTGCATTTAGTAAAACTTGGCAATTTTTAATATGAAAAACATGGCCTCACATTTAAAGGATTTTAGTGGTTATGGTGCATCAAACTTGAAATCTAGAAAAAATTGTCTTAAAGTAGAGGTTTCAAGCTTTAATTTGAAGTGAGATTCATCATCGTACGATAATTTTTCGCTAAGTTATCGCAAGTCGAAGTTGGGCTACTGGAACACTTTCAATGCGAGGTCTGGTTTGTCATATTGAAAATTGCAAGGGTAACTTCAAAGTGCCGTAACTTTGCGAAAAAAAATCGCAGCCCCGTTCACTTACACTTAAATTAAATAGGAAGGAACGAACTTTATTTAGCTGTAAACAGCATTTCATAAAAAAATTTTACAAAGTCTGTACACTTCTTCGAACTTGGAAATTTTCTATGTGAGAAACATGGCCTCACATTTAAAGGGCTACCGTGTCGAGGGTGCAATAAATTCAAAATACAGAAATACTATCTTAAAGTAGAGATTTCAAGCTTTAAATCAAGCATAGAACCATCATCCTACGATGATTTTTCGCGGAGTTATCTGCAGTCAAATATGGCCAATTTTCATCGAAAATTTTTCTATCCCATAATATTCTCGATCAGACTTAAATTATTTCTGTTAGTGTGATTATGGTTTAAGCTGCGATCACTAGAAAGCATAAATTTATACCAGCTCGATTCTCCGATGGCATCGGCAACATCGACAAACTTCGACCGCCGACAAGATGGCGTCTGAAAATTCAACGATCCGGCGAAGTTTTCGGATCGCTGCATTGTGTCGAGGAATTTTATCGGCGGCGATGTTTAGCGTAGTTTGCGATACCCAGAGCCGAGAATTGTGGTGATTTTTATTCCGGATGTTTTATTTCAGGGAAGATTTATTTTTATACCAGGTCCGTGGAATAATGGTGACTAAGTGGGTCTGCCTGGGCCGGCTTTCAAATTTATCCCAGCTCACATAACATTTCTTTTTTGTATATTGGTTTAATGGTACAACGATGTTTACGGGACGCTCGGATGCGTTCTGTCGTGTAAATGGGCTGCAAGATAAATTAGGGGAGTCTGTGGCTTGTAACGATGCTGATAGTATCCAGCTTGTATGGAATATCGTATAACAAATATATACTGTTAATAAAAATATACTGTTTAGAAAAATCATAGCATAGACAAATTTTGTGTAAAAAATCGCCAACTTTGGCTGACGATAACTCCGTGAAAAATCATCCTAGGACGATGATTCTTTTTTTAAATTAAAGCTTGAAACCTCTGTTTTAAAATAGTCTTTTCAAATTTTACGTTTGATACATTTTCACCGCTATAACCCTTTCAATATGAGGCTATGCTCGTCATATTAAAAATAGGCAAGTTCGACGAAATGCACAGGCATTGCACAATTTTTTTCGGAGATGCCGTTGAGACTACAATAAAGTTACATCCTTTCTCTTTAATTTAAACAAA